ATGAGGAAACACGCCCCAGAAAACCATTGATCACATGGGCTCAGTAGTCATGTAATATTTACCAAGAGACTAAAGGCTGTAGAAAATGTCCACCTCGTGCTCAGACTCTCTCTCTCTCACACACACACACACACACACACACACACACACACACACACACACACACACACACACAGACACAGAGTCAGACACTGTAGGGAATGCTGGTGTTTGTCTGTACACATTAGTACCCATGTGTGTGAGTGTGTTTGTGTGAGTGTGCAGATGCCTGCACTACATTAGATGAGAGGGATACCTCTCAAAATAGAGCTGTTCTGTGGAGAGACACTTTCTGCTGGCGCGGAAAAAATTTCGCCTCATTTTTTTGCCAGCGAAACGAGGAGAGCGCGCTGATCTGGGAGGCGAGTCCCAGCACTGCTGAGCGATGACTCACTTCAGTCAAATAAACAGCAGAGAAACTATCTGTTTATGTGGACCGTCCGCGCACTTGATGTCAGCTGCCAGTTGGATGTAGAAGTTGGGGAATATTTTACTTTTTAAGCACCTAAAATGTTTTGGAGGTATCTAGTTTTTACTTGAGACTTTTTTTAAGAAAAAGATTGCATTTTTGTTGTTGTTTGTTGTCCAACAGCTATGAGCACATGAGGGGTGTGTACACCTCTCTGTCACGACTGTTGCCTCACTTGTTTTTATTCGGCCTCCAGCATCTTATCACCCACCATGCATTTCTGAGAAATATCCCAGACCTGCCGTTCTCCACCTGACACCCCCCCGACTTTCCCACCCAGTCTACCTTTAGGGGGAGACATATTTTTTGGAGGGCGGTAGGTAGGGTGTACTGCACCAGCTCGGATTCATTCCCAAGTCGTCAAATACTGACCTTTTTTTATTTACCTCTGGGATATAGTGAAGTAAAAAGTACAACATGTATTTATTGAAAACCATCTCTATACCGCCACCTAGCGTCTGTGTCAGAGTGATATCCGGCCAATCCAAAGACAAAGATTGTAACCAATTAAATCTAGATACAATGGTGACTGGCTCCGCCCACTTACTGTCAAAAATAAAATCTACTTGCGAGCGAGGAGGTGAAAGACTCGCGAGCAGAAGAGCAGTGATTGAATTCTAGTCGACCATTGGCACTCTCGTATTTTGTCAGTGATTTGCCTTCATAGTCTCTCTCTCTTCGGTCGCTTGAGGCCGTACAGACGCTGTTGGGCCTTTTTAAAAATAAAAACCTTTGTGAAGTGGAGAGCCCATGTTAGGTCCTTGTGAACGTCCAGGCTCTCAGACCAGAGGCTTGGTCTGACTAAAGTATGAATAGCGATGTCCAGATGGCATATCTTTACTTGTCGTCAGTAAAACTTTATTTCACACTCTGATGGTTAACGTTAAACTGTGTAATTAATCCGCGGTTCACGTGTGAGCCGAACCGTATCGACAACGGTCCGTTACACCAGCCATCTAGAAGAGACATACGTTTTAATACTTTAATAGTGAGAACAAATCTTGTTCTTTTCATTTCCCCTCATCAATTGAATAAACAGAATGTACTCGAGCCTTTTATATTACACTCAATGTTATAAGTAGACTATCACAACAATACCAACATTCAGGCTCCCTCATGTGGCTCAAAGGTGAACTGCACATCTTAATGTCAAATAACAAAGTGACACCATCACAATGTTTGTTTTGTCCAGCCAGCAGCCCAAACCTTTAAATTATGAACAATTAATTTAAATAATGAAAACAATTAAAAGGAAAAGCAGCAAATCTTCACATGTTTTAAAACGAGAACTGTTGGGTAGTTAGATTTCATGCATCATATTAAGTTTGTAATATTTACAATCTTAATTTGTAAAGTAACTAAAGCTGTCAGATAAATGTAGTGGAGTATTGGAGTTCAGTATTTTCTGATATCCAACATGTAAAAACCTTTGACTCGATATGTCTATGTTGTGGACTTACGTCTTGAGATGTATACTTGGTTTTTGGCCTGTAAACAGAAGATCAGTTCCCTCTCATCTCATCTACTTTCCCTAAATCCAAATGCACTTATTGAACAATTCTCAAGCTTAAAGTTTAAACTTGGACTCCAAAATCCAAGATGTATCCACGCCTACAATTTTCTTTTTCCCAACATAAACACTGTGCAGCGTGTTTAACACGTAGACATTTTAAACGTCTCACGCGCAGCTTGTTTCTGACCTCCAGTACAAGCTGAAGCTGCAGACTCGGTTCTGTTCGGCAGGTAACACAGAAGCCATTCATGTGTACGAGGAAAGAAAAAATAAACACACACTGCTTTCAAAACATGTTCTGCTGAGAGGCTTCTAACTAAATCCTTTCAGCGGGCGGAGAGCCGACTTCCCGTCAGCAGGGACGCTTCTCAGGTATGAGGAAAAAGGTTCTAATGCTAGTTACGAGAAGTCCATTAGCTTAGAAACTCCCCGTCTATACAAACCCGACAGAAAAATTAACACTGGCACACATCCAGGTGAAAGGTAGGATTATAATAACTTACTGGAGACCAAACTGCTAGATACAATAGGTAGTTATTAATCTATAAATATCTGTGGATCGACACACTGGCCAGTTTCCTCATGAGCCATTGCTGGTTATCAATCAGCCACCGAACGGCATTTGTTTCTCCTGTCATCTGACTTTCGATAGTGTCTCTGCAAATGGGATTTATTTTCCATTGAATTTTGGATTATTGCAGAAAATAATCTCTGTGTCAAACAAATGTTTATGATACCTACACATTTAGTTCATCAAGATAATCTCCACACATGAACTCCACTTTTATGATGTTTGAAGTGTAGCATAAAAAGCTAATGTTAGGCTATAAAGGAACTCCACCTCGGTCTCCTCCACTAAGATAAAGGAGGACTAGTGTTCCAGTGAGGACGTCTAGTCGTCTCATTTACACTCTTTTTATATCGTAGAACAAAACGTTAAAATCTCTTGTGTTAACCACAGACCTTATTTCAGGCATCTAACCAAAAACAGATTCAAAAAACACATTGATTTGAGACGATGGAACCGGAAGTACAAAAATGCTGACTCATTTCGGGGTTTTAGGAATCATACCTCCTTTTGTGGAGCTTACTGTTCTCTCCGTTCAACACACTATTGTTTCACAACCCCTTTTTCCCTTAACCGTATTTGAAGTGATTGTTTAAAACAAAATTGTATTTCATCTAGCCCCTTAAAGGTTTGCCTCGGTCAATCTCTCCCATGCAAACTTCATCAAACAACACCCTTCATTGTTCAGACTGCAGCACTTTTCCTGAACAGAAAGTGACCTCTTTCTTTTTGTGAAGGGAGTTTATGGAAGAGGAAATGTCTGCTGATCCCCGAGGATTTCACTGAAACTCTGTCTCCATCGCTGTAGGTGGCTTTAGTTCAACACTGATGAAGACAGAAGACCACAGGCACAAATATAACCTGCCTCAAAGCAGCCTCTGACACAGGAATAACTTACAGTTCACTGTTATTCTTATGTCACAGCAAAACAGGTTGCTGAGGTGCAGCTTGAGTGAAACTTTGTTGAACAATTTAGTCATTTCCCTTGAACCCTGAGTCCAGTATAAATAGCCCAGTTTGTAGCCACACCTTGACTCAAACTCTCTCGACAAACAAAATTGGAAATGGAGTGTTCCTGTCATTATGTCCCACTTAAACTCAACCTGGACTCCCTTTGTAAGTTAAGTGGGGGGTCATTTGTATCCGTAACATTTGTAGGCATCTAGGACCTGAGTGAAAGAGCAGCTTTGTCTTCAGTTTTCTTCTTTTTAAGGAGTGAAAGTGAGTGGGTGGAGAGGAGTTAAAGGAGGCGAGGACTGAGATGCTTTAGAGGCTCATTAATTCATGTGGTGACGGCAGGACGCGGTTATATATATTGTTTTTGTTTATTTAATGTTTTTATCCTAAATCTGTCACTTTTCAAACAGACAGGGAACACTTAGGAGGTGATGATGGATAAAAATAAACAGAGCAATGAAGTTATCATAAGCTTAGTACTACGTCATTGGCAGTGCATTAATTAAAATGGACCCCTGTAGAAACACAGTGGTATAGTCTTGAGTTTCATCCGATTCAAAAGCACAAGTCTGATTATTCAAAGAACATCATTACCTCATTTCTACCCAGCGGGTGGAACGGCACACGCCCTCTGGCATCACATGAGTCAGGTATGCCAAACAGTTTCTCTCAAAATAAAAGCAGAACATTTGCCCAATTTGAAAACAAATGACAGGTGATGCTGAAAGGTGACAACAGCAATGATCTACTACTACTACTGCTGCTATTAATAACATTTAAATAATCAAATCGGGGGAGGGGGGGATAGGCATTAAGTGTCTCAGCTTAACAGATAGGAGTGTATGATGTGGTACCAACTCCAGTAATATACCATAAATGAAATAAAGTGACAATTAAAGTATAAGCAAAAAGTCACGTAAAATTGATAATTTCTCCAACAAAAGTATTTTTTTGAATGAAGAGACTTAAATGATGATCGCCTGGCCTTTTTTCCTCGAGGAAAAAAGAAAAAGTGTCATCGACACTGACCACCTTGTTTGACAAGTTGGGAGTGAGACGGGTTAGAGGGAGAACGTTAAGATGAGAATGTTCTCACACTGTAATATGTTCTTGCAGGAGGTCCAGTGTTTCGAAGGATGCGTTATTTAGGCCAAAGACTCGCCAGGGTCGCCAAATAAAGTTGCAGAATTCCTTCCATAGTCTTTTATTTAACCTTTATATCTTCAGTGCACCTGTGAGCCACATTAGGGAGCCTGAATGATCGTATTGCTCTGATAATTGTAGCCTACTGTTAATACTGATCTCATATGAAAGGCTTACATTCTGTTTGTTTGATTGATGAGAGAGAGAGAGAAAACGAGCCGAATTTAATTTCAGTTAAATGTATTTATTTGGAATCATTTATAAAGTATTTAACACGTGTATATGTTTTCAATAACATGTGCATAAAACAAAGTTGTGATTTATCAAACGTATATCTCTTCTACATGGCTGGTTTACCTGTTCTTGGTAATATGAGTTGATGCAGAAATGACAATAAAATTATCGTTTATTTAGCCAAAAAATTCCCAGCTTCTCAAAGAGCTGAATCACTTCTAACTTCTTGCTCCATCATGTGAACATCTTTAACCGCAGCACCACGCTGTGATTGACTCAACCACACTTTGAGAAATAAGCAGCAGTAGCCTGCTTTTATTTTGAAATCAGTCCACCTCATACCTCATGGTGAGCAGCTTGATGGTGTTTCCCTCAGAGGTGTGCCAACCAGACCTGGTCCCAGTCTCATTCCTCTGCACACAGCCGAGCATCCTCAGCTGCTGCTCACTGGGACTTTTACAAAACTCACAACCCTGGAGCTCAGCTGACCACCACAAATACACCACTGAAGAAGAGTGTGAAGGTACCTCTGCAACAGGTGGGCGAAATACTTTTATTGTTTTGTTTTGGCATATTTTATGAGGAAATGCAGAAGTTATGAAAAGGTTATTTACGTCACCATGTGCATGTGTGCTTTATTGTTGTAACAATTTATTTTTTCTTCTTTTTAACATAAGTGCTTAATATATGCTAATTCATATCCTTGTGATGTTATTTTAATACCCTTTATATTGTAGAAATGTATCTTATTCTAAAAAGATGAGTGTATCTTATTCTATCGTCTCTATTTCTGCTCATTATGAATTTATTTTTCTGAAATATGAACAATATTTTATAAAGAAATGTATTTGTGTTTTTCACTTGAAAGCAGTTTTTTTCAACTGGATAATCAGTAACTCAGTATCCCATCTGTGTAATTTATAGAATGCAAATATTAGAATAAAAATAGCTGAAGAAAATACAAACTAATCAAATTTGAACCAAATCTGAAACCAAAATTACTTGATACTCGACAAACAACATGATATCAAAGTATATTGTTTGGTAAAGTATCAGAAAGGTAGTATAACTCACTATGGAGTACCACAGACTTGTATATTTAAATTAATTATATAATGAAGCAGATTCAAAAACAGATAAAAGAACATCATCAACATATTCTACATCCCTGTTACAGGATTATAATTATTAGGGAGTTGTGTCTTAACTAATTAAATGGACAGTTTACTTCTGTCTGTAAATAATGAAACGTGATGAAACCTAACTTGAGAAATGTGCCTCATGTAGAGAGCAAAGATACAAACAGGTGAGGATTAAAGCTCCGTCATGACCACACACTTTCGGCCCTCGACTCCTCCCATCATGTCTCACACTTCTCCAAGTCTCCGGCCTGAATGTCAGCAGTGTTGAGACGTGATGGAAAGGCTGCTGTTTACACAGGCCCTGGTGTCGTCAGAGCTGCCATAATAGGGGCTTCAGGGGGAACAGATCTGGTCTTATGGGCCCCCGGTCTCTCTGGGAGTGGACCTCGCCAGCGGCTGAATGAGCTCAGTGTGCAGTTGGCTCACTCGCACAACTCAGCTGAAGTCCAGTCACTGAAGTCCAGACACCGCAGCTCAGTCCTGGAGAGACACTCCCTCCAGGGTTTCAAACACTTTTCACAGTGTTAGGGGCGTTGAAAAAGCTGGAAACTGAAAGTTGGATGAATGAGAAAAGCAGTAGTCTAGTCCTCTCATGTGCAGAGGTGGAGGAAAGTAGTCCATCCTGGAAACATATTGTCGCAGTTACTTTCTCACTGAGTGAGAATTTTCTGCCGAAGTTAGAACAGCTTTAGTTGTTTCCATAGACTGTATTTAAGAAGTGGACGTAGTAAAGCATAACCCAGGAATTCTAATTCTAATCTGTACATTTCTCTGTAACTGTTGTATCTTTGGCAGAAAATAGTGTGTTGTTGCGAGGGGCTTAAACATGAAGACTTGAAAGAATCAAGTAAAGGCAACAAACGACAAAAAGTAAATGTGGTAATAAAAGAAATTTCTAACTTAAATTTCAACTTTAAGTCCTTCATTTAATAATTCAGTTGTCACACAGGCAGTTAGTATAAGATAGTATATTTTTCAGGTTGTTACTCAGATGGAGTAACAGCAAACAAGAACTGGAGCGCCTTGTTTTCCTGTGACGAAATAAGAGCGCTGGCTTTTGAGAGTTGTAGTCACTCGACCGGCACGTCGACGTCACAGAGATGTTTTATTTTGGGAAATGTCGTTGCTGTGTAGCTTTTGCTTCGGAAAACTGGAATCATGTCTGTTTGAGACACTATAGGTGGAGTTTTGGACTTCAAACAAGTTAGAATTTAAGCAACATGAATCATTTGGATTGGACTGTTATGATTTAAAAGATGTGACCCTCCCTCTACAAGGCAAGAGAGGAAGAATGTTGTCAGAACCAGAAGCATATTCATAAAGACAGAGCCGGCATTCAGGCCGGCGTTCAAACTGCTCATATGTGTTTCCAATGACTGGATGTAACTTTATGGAGGACTTCCATGTGTTTAGTGTGTATTTGTAGCAGGTAGCAACCTCCAGAAAAGCCAATGCTGAAGTATCTTAAAAGCTGCATTCTCACTAATGTCCATCAGGGGGCGTCTCCTCTGGTTGTATAGAAGTCTATGAGAAAATGACTCTACTTCTCTCTTGATTTATTACCTCAGTAAACATTGTAAACATGAGGTTATGGTCTCAAGCTCTAGTTTCAAGTCTTCTTCAATACAGCATGATGTTCATTTAGTACATTATGGTCCATTTAGAGTCAAACAGACCATAAACCAGGGTATGCTTCAGGGCGGGGCTACACAGTGATTGACAGGCAACGGCTGTAATCCAAGATGGCGACAGCAAAATCGCCAAACTCAAGGCTTCAAAACATCAGTCCACAAACCAATGGGTGATGTCACGGTGACTGTGTCCACTTCTTATAGACAGTCTTTGTGACACACCATTAGCAGAGTGAAATATCTAGTTCAAAATGACACATGCACCCTTCAACAAATAATTCATTCACAAACTGCTCTTTGTCAATTGATCAGCTGGCATACCACTCCAGGGATAGGTACATACCGCTGAACAACAGTAGCATTCCACTCCAGGGATAGGTACATACCGCTGAACAACAGTAGCATTCCACTCCAGGGATAGGTACCTATTGTAAAACAAACTAAATAGAAACACAATGTTCTGAACTTCTGGAAAGTTCTATGACATCCAGGATAAAAACACTTAAATGAAGCTTTGGGTGTGCAACTGTGGGTTTGCATGTGCCTCACACACGTTAACATATCAGTGCAAGTCTTTACAAAAAGCTAATACAACAATACCATACAGTTTAAATAAACAGACTATGTGATGAGCTGATTACGTTGGGTGAAGAAATGAAGCTGACACAATGGACTACAATGGACTAACGTTCAACACTAAAATGAGTTTGATCTGGTTTTAATGTTACTCCTGGGATAACACACACGTAACGTTACTGTTACCGTTACCTCAACTGTTCATCGTCTTGAACACACATCGGTGATTTCTCGTCCGCTCTCCCTTTTGATAATTGTCCCGTTTGCGGTCCTACAGTCGGTCCAATAAGAGCACAAGTAAACACAAGTTAGGTTACTAACGTTACATCTTAACTCTGTAATTGGTGATTCACTTTATTTATGTTAACTTAACTTGCTTTGCTGTTAGCTAGCTAACCTTTCTAAGGCTACTTGAGCTCGAGCTAGCTAACGTTACAGAGCTAGCTCCGCTAATATTAGCAACCTAATGTAATGAAACAGACCAAGTGAAACATTATCTGAGATGTTAACAGTTCCATTAAGACAAAACAATACTGGAGACTTTGAATTTCGGGTTTGTAAGTTTGAATAATAAAAATATTCTTTCGTCATTACAGATACAATAACCTATATAGACAGTATGATGTAGATGGATCGTGATTCACTGAACTTGTGTAGAGAACCGTATATCCACCACTTCACAAAAGATACTGTATTATGCTGATAAATTACAGTAGTCTGCTGTTATGGTTAATTGACGGCATTGACTGTTAATTTACATGCAATGGATGAACAATTAATATGATTTTACATCCCATCATCATAATAGAAAGGTTGAATATAAGGCCTGCAGGAAAACATTTCTCAGATGACATCTTTACGATTTATTAAATTATTAATGTTCTGTGTTCTGATGTTACAAAGAGTTTTTACTGACTTGGATTTTTGCTAATGTTCCTTTTTTCATTTCAGGTAAAACATGATAAGGAGGATCGTGTTGCTGTCTGTGTGTTTACATGCCATCTCAGCAGCATCTGATTACATTTATGAAGAGCCCTCTATGGGTAAGAAATAATATATCATTATTTTAATTAGATGGTAGAAACACAAGTGATAAAAATCATCGGAGCTCGGTGTGCGGCCATCTTCTCTTCCATGCATGTCATTGCCATAACCAGCAGTCTAGTCTTTGGAGTGTATTCACCAGAAAACTCTTGCTGGTCTCTTCCACAGACCCAGAGAATGGGCTGATGAGTGTGATCATCCCTCTGGAGGAGGCACAGCTTCCTCTACTGGGAGCCACGTTGGTACTACCCTGTCACTTTGAGGTGAGTAATCATGAGCTTTTACTTTATGTCGGTTTTGAAAACTAGTATGTTTTCCCGCTGTATGTGTATGTGTATGTATATATATATATATATATACGTACTTTAAAGAGACAGTGCACCCCAAAATCTAAAACACATTTATATTTCTCCTCTTGTGTTTCCTCTATGGTGTTGTTGTTTCCCAAGTAGGACCACAAGGCCCCAGACCCTGCTTTATGGTCTGTTTGACTCTAAATGGATCATAATTTACTAAATGAACATCATGCTGTGTTGAAGAAGACTTGAAACTAGAGATTGAGACCATAAACTCATGTTTACAATGTTTACTGAGGTAATAAATCAAGAGAGAAGTAGAGTCATTTTCTCATAGACTTCTATACAACCAGAGGAGTCGCCCCCTGGTGGACACTAGAGAGAATGCAGCTTTAAGACATGAAGCATTGGCTTTACTTTTCAGAACAGGAGGTTTGGCGCAGATCCAAGAATTATTTTAAAATATTCTTAACATTACCAGATAGGACATTTCCAAATTATACATTTTCACATTGTATGACATTGTGGGCTCAAGCTTCACCGTCTACAATCAAACATCTCACATCCCAATGTATCATTCCTCATGCAATCAAGCACAGAAAGTAATCGACAAAAGCCTGTCCGGTTGCATCACTGTCACATACTAAAAAAACAATTTGTTTTCAGATGTGAAAAATGAAACTGGTGGTGAACTGTGTTGTTGTTTCCTACGTAGGACCACACCAGCCCAGACCCTGGAGCTCCCACCATCGCTCCCCTCGCTTATCGCATCAAATGGAGCCTCGTCACCAAAGAGAAAGTCACGACTATCTTAGTGGCTTTGCAGGGAAAGGTGCGCGTCAGCGAGAGCTACCTGGACAGAGTTCATCTGGTGGAATACCCCTTGACTTCCACGGACGCTAGCATCAAGATATCCGAGCTGCGCTCCAGTGACACAGGAGTCTACCGCTGTGAGGTTCAGCACGGCATCGAGGACAGCCACGACATTATCCATGTGCAGGTTCAAGGTGAAAAAATGGCCTACTTGACATGAACTGCCATAACTCTTGAAGTCACGGTGCAAATGCAGCTAAATTTAGAAGACAATTGCACAAATCTGCTCCGAGCGATTCAGCAACATGTGTTGTTATTCTGCCTATAAGTGGCAGGTAGTTATGTCTAGTTTTGTGGTATTGATTATCAAAAGATGATACTTAATTCATTCTCAGTAGAACTAAAGTCCTTATTTAACTCTGTAGGTATGGTGTTCCACTACCGGGCAATCATGGGCCGCTACGCTTTGACCTTTGAAAAGGCGAAGGCAGCATGCACCCAGAACAGTGCCGTCGTAGCTTCAGCCGAACAGCTTCAAGCCGCCTACGACGATGGATTCCACCAGTGCGACGCCGGCTGGCTCTCTGACCACACAGTCAGGTCAGTTTGTCATATGATGGGCAACAACAACTCTTTACTATATCTATTTATAACAAAGGGGTAGAGAGACATGACACACTCGGGGTGTTAACTCACAAACATGAAACTCACGTGCTGATAGCGAAAAACACACTATACTGTATAAAAGTGTCCAACAAACACCTAAAATACTGGCCACCCAAATGGCAATTGTAATGTTTATTCATTTACTAAATACACTTAGAAAGTGCTAAAATACTTTGACACTGTTTAAAAACTCTAAGAGACCCACATAGACCTTTCTTGTCTCTTTTGGGGGGACAGGGGATCTTTAGGGGAGACAGCAGACAACAGTAGATGCCACATAAAAGATGCAGCTCAGCACCGTGTGTCAAACTGTTCTAGTCATAAATCAGAATTATTTTTCCATTTCTGAAGTTGCTGTTCAGAGCCAGTTTAATACTTGCCATGTTCCCATTCATGTATTCTATGTGCATTTTGAAGTATCGTATTAGAAAAGCTTTATGGAAATGGAAAAGTTTGCTAAAACTTCCTCAATTGTGCAAAATAGTTTGCATAAAACTAGATAGTTGAATTGCAACACGGCTAGTTTGTGCTTGAGAGTTTTTGTTATTGAAGACACCGAAGCTCATTTCCATTGAACCGAAGGTACCCGATCCATGATCCTCGTGCGAACTGCCTTGGCGACAAAGAGGAGCTGCCTGGGGTCAGAACATACGGAGTGAGGGACCTCGATGAGACTTATGACGTCTACTGCTACACTAAGGAGATGACAGGTACACTGAGATCAACACCACAATGTTTCCGTTTGTGATTGTTGTGGGAATTCTCTTACATTTTCAGGTTTGGGGATGTTTTTAAGCTCAATCCTTATTTTACTCATTGACTTTAATGAACCTCTCTTATTTGATACAGGCAGAGTTTTCTACACCGCTTCTGCAAAAAAGTTCACCTACTCTGAGGCGGTGGAGGTGTGCTCCAATCAGGTAGCTCAGTTGGCCACTACTGGTCAGCTCTACCTGGCCTGGCAGGGTGGGATGGATGTCTGCAACGCCGGCTGGCTGGGAGACAGGAGCGTCCGCTACCCCATCAGCATCCGTCGGCCGCAATGTGGAGGGGGTCTGCTGGGGGTGCGAACTGTTTACCGCCACACAAACCAGACAGGATACCCACTTCCTGAGTCCCGCTACGGCGCCTTCTGCTACACAGGTGGGCCACCGTTTAGAAAAATTCCCCCTTAAAACATATACATGACACTGACTGTTAGTAAAGACAGCAAAACCTAAAGTTTGGGGTGGCGGAGGGAGCTGTGAAAGTATCTTTGAGCTCAATATTTGTTTTTTTAGGTTTACTGGTTTGGTTTAGTCTCACCGCTCTCATCAACATTGTTTCAGTGAAAAGCTTTATTAAACACACTATACGCTACCTGTCCAGTCCCAAGCAGCAACCAGATAACATTAACGACTACTAGCTGATGAACATAGTGGAAAAAAGAGACAGATATTTTCCTCAAGCTCAAAAGATCTCACCAAGCTGACTGCCCGCGTAGCAGCAACTGAGTGATGTACTGATCAATGTGTATACTGGTAGTTATGTTAGCCGTTAGCCAAGCACAGCATCCAACACAATTACAGCGAGCAAACCATTTTCCACCACTGTGTCTCTGGGTGCAGAGTCGTAATATTGGACCTACATTCATCAGGTGGACACAAAAAAAAACTTCAAATGAATGCTAATGTTCTGTGTCTGCTGTGTTAATAGACAACTGTTTGCCTACACATTCACCATATCACCTGTATAACGTATGTCAACGTTGTGTTTAAAATTTGCACTGTCCCAAGTGGCAAAAAAAATGTGTGCAGGTTTACACATTTTACATGACAAGTGGACCTGTTATAAACTCAATATTATTGGATGGTACTTTAACATACTCCTGTTAAGATACCCTGTAGTGAAGATAAAACTGCTGTTTTCCAAGAAGGAAATGTGGTGGGATTTAGCCATATTTTGCAAATATACTTGATAATTGTATGAAAGTAAAATTGTTAATTTCATCTGTTGTAAATACCGTTTAAATACAGATAATTAGATAACAAGAGAAGAGAGCCCAACGTATGAGCCAACATAACCAGAGCTACAACAGAGATTCATCACTAATCTCTCTCTCCTCAATCACCTCCAGAGGCCCCCGAAGGTTTGGACATCATAGACGAGGGAAGCGGCGTGCTGAGTGTGACCGCGGTGACACACAGCCCAGAGGTGTACTTCAAGCGGACGACCACAGAGAGCGAGGCGGTCGGAGAGTTGGAGACTCAGCAGCCTACCGTTGTGGACTTTACCTTCACAGAGAGCCCTACCGGGCTGCCGCTGCCTCAGCCGGCAAACGTCACAGACTTCGCCATTGACCTGATAGAACCAGCCACCGCCCGGCCCGATATAGGAAGAGAGCCCAGCAAAGGCTCTGTCACGTCTCCAACAGGTCAGTAATACTGAACTGCTGATGCATCATAGATAACTGCATAGTGTCCAGTCGCATGTTGAAGTGAGAGGGATGGACTTCGGGAGCGGAAGGAGAATTGAGGGAGGAAGGGATGAGAGTTGTGGGATGAAGGGGTGTAGGGTAAAGGGACGAGGAGGGTAAAAAGCAGGGGATGCTAAGCTAAGCTAAATTCTTTGCAATGGGAGCACTGCGTATTTACCAGGCGGCAACCTCCGGTTCTGCCGAGTGAAGCCAATGCTTCATGTCTTAAAGCTGCATTCTCTCTAATGTCCATCAGGGGGCAACTCCTCTGTTTGTATAGAAGTCTATGAGAAAATCACTCTTCTCTGATTTATTACCTCAGTAAATATTGTAAACATGAGTTTATGGTCTCAATCTCAAGTTTCAAGTCTTCTTCAACATGCCATGATGTATGCTTTAGGGCAGGCTGAATAGCAGAGCTGTATACAGCGTCTGTACGTCACTCCTCCGCATTCCAAATATGTTAACTTCTGTTCATCGGTTGCAAAAACAACATGGCGATGGACATAATCCAAGATGGCGACGGCAAAATCGCCAAACTCAAGGCTTCAAAACATCAGTCCATAAACCAATGGGTGACATCACAATGACTACGTCCACTTCTTACAGTCTGTGGTATTTGCATCTATCCTGCGCTGCACGTTTGTTATATTCTGGTCGCAGAGAGTTGAAAAATTGTTCAACTTTGGGCAAAATGCTTGTCACTGTCAGTTTTACCCAGCTGTCCAATCACAATGGAGGAGGGATGTGACAAACACTACAAAGAGCAGCCGTCACATCCTACATGTAGGCTACAAGTAACAGCAGGTCCGTCCTCTTGCTCTTTATGCCTCAGCCTTCCCTTCCCTGAAAAAAAAGTGCCGTGCCTCATTGACCTTCTTTATTCTGCATTTAATAATAATCAAGTACTTAATCAGTTTTGAAACTATCATCCATGGCATTTAAAAATAAATATTATACCTAATAACAGCCTCACAATAAAGCTTATAGCACAAAATTAAGGATAAATTAAGACAGTTGCACAAAACAAAAAAAATGGCAATAATACAACAACAACAAAATCAAGCTCTACGCAGCCTGGAAAAAAGGACATCACAAACATCCAGGAGACCCTCCTTAACCTAACATCAATTACTGATTTGTTGAGGCCTGGTAAGCTATATTTAAATTATGAACAAATGACTTTCTTACTAGTGCAAATGTCATTTTATTTCCAATGTGCCTCACTCTTTTTCTTCTATATGTCTCTTTAGCTGTTCCTTCCATCGTCTCTCCTATACCTGTGGAGACTTCGGGCTCTGGCTCAGCAGACTTTGGCTCAGGGTCTGCGGTTGATGGTGCCTCTGGGGGTCACTCTGGAGACCAGTCTGGATCTGGAGACATGTCTGGTCCTGGAGACGAGGTTATCTCTGATGATCTGTCTGGCTCAGGAGACTTGTCTGGCTCTGGGGACTTGGCCGGCAGTGTCATTGCTGAGCTGCCCAGTGGAGAATCAGGTCTCAGCAGTACAGATTCTTCTGGCTCAGCTGTCAGTGGAGACGGATCCGGCATCAATGTTGTATTTTCGGACATCAACAGCACTTTTTCTGGAGAGGGCTCGGCTTCAGGTGGACTCCAAGAAGCTGGAGAGGGAAGCACGGGGATCTTTATCGTCCCTTCATCTGAAGTAGGCTCTGGAGAGCTCAGTGGTAGCGGGGACATGTCCGGATCTGGATCTGGTTTCAGCTCTGGGGAGAGTGGCTCTTCCATAGACGGCTCTGGGGAAAGTGGACAGTTCTCTGGCATGTCGTCCGGTTTCATCACTGGCCAAGACTTTTCTGGGTTAAGTGGGTTCCCATCAGGATTCTCCTCTGGAAGTGCTAGTGGAGACTCAGGAGAGCTTTCTGGAAGTGGGGACGCACAGATCTTACTGATCGATCATGAACTCATCGACGCGTCCACCCCTGTTACCCACAAGGAGAATGAGCTTGGTGGAGGCCGTCTGGCGTTCAGCGGCTCTGGAGACATTTCAGGATCTGGGATTCTCAGCGGCTCTGGAAGTGGCTCTGGGTCCTTCTCGGGGGTGACCCTTGTTGGGTCAGGGTTTACTGACCTTACAGTATCATCCTCTGGAGAGCAGGAGGCCTCTGGATTTGGAAGCTCAAGCTTCATCTCTGGATCTGGATCGGAAATCTCTGGATCAGGAATGTCTGGTTCTGAGTCCTCAACGAGCGGAGAAGAAGGAAGTGTTACGTTTGTCTCTGGGGATTTTTTGACAGCGGTATCTGGAGACACTACACTGTCTATGGAGCTTGGACAGGGGTCAGTGGAGTACAGTGGAGAAGGAAGCAGTAGCACCAGTGGCTCAGGAGCTCCCTCTGGAAATCTGCCACAGATGGTGCTGTCCTCTCCATCCAGTGAGTGGGCATCAACAGAAAGCACCACAGGACCAGAGGAGGCCCTTAGTGGGGGTAAACTGTCACAGACCCCTGGTGACGTCTATGGAACTCCCCACCCTGTGCTTGCCCCTGCAGGACTGGCTGCTCCTCCCACTGCAACTACACCAGCTTCTGTGCCGACAACGGGTGTCGTTGAAGAAACTTCAACTACAGTGGAGGGTAGGTCAACCTATTCTTAATTATTTTTGTCATTAGCAGGTGGCAATTTCCGATTTCTGCCGGATGAAGCCAATGCGGAAGTGTCTTAAAACTTGCACTCTCTCTACTGACCAGTAGAGGGCGACTCCTCCGGTTGCAAAAATAAGTCAGATTGTATAGAAGTCTATGAGAAAATGACGACTTCTCTCTTGATTTATTACCTCAGTAAACATTGTAAACATGAGTTTATGGTCTCAATCTCTAGTTTCAAGTCTTATTCAACATCATGTTCATTTAGTAAGTTATGGTCCATTTAGAGTCAAACAGACCATAAAGCAGGATATGCTTTAGGGCGGGGCTACACAGTGATTGACAGGTTGCTTCTGCTACCAGAGACTTAAACGGCATCTCTACGTCATTCCTCCACATTCCAAATATGGTAACCTCTGTTCGTTGGTTTGCGAAAAAAACAACATGGCGACAGCTGTAATTCAAGATAACGATAAACGAAAGAAAAAACAAACAAATTGTAGCAATGAATGGACTCCGCGGGGGGGCAGTCATTCCGGCCTCTACGTCGTCCAATAATTCATGATAATTACCACCTCGGCGGGCATTATCCCTTACATATAATAGGTTTGAACAGTACTCCAGTTCAGATCAGACTAAGAATCTGTCTTTTGAAAGCAGTTTTTCTAGGTGGTTTAAACCTATGTGAACCCAACCCCTGCGGTGCGGCTTTATGCGCAGTAGAGAAAGGGGTTGCTCTCTGCCATGGTAAGTCCCAAAAAACAGTTGCAAGTAATTTCTTTTCTTCTTCCTTCTTTCTCCGAAAACTACTGAATTCAATACTGTGTGATGATGTTTTGTTTTAACAGACTTCACCAGTCGCGTTTCTCTGAATGTCTTTGTTGTTGAGCACTTTGCATGTTTTGTATTGTTGGTCTGCATTCTGTTTATTAATCAGCTTGTCAGTTCTATTTTCAGATACGTATTTAACTGGTTGTGATTGTATTTCATAAATCAGTGTTACTAGACTGACCAACAATCTGTTTTCTCTCCCTGCTGTTCTGTCCTGATGTGTTTTGCCTCATCATTTTGCTATGTTTTGTGTTCCCTTGATTTCCTTGTCATCATTTTGTCCCTCTGGCTATGGTTCTCTGTGTTCCTGTGGCAGACTGAAGTTTGCTTGTCAAATATGCATCAGCTCTGCTCTGAGGTTGCACAGCCTCTGTGTCACACGTCTTATCACAATTGTCTTCAAGCCTATATGTTGCTTTTGGTTTGCTGTGCCAGTACGTCGCCTCCGCTCTGCTTCATGCATGCCTAACCCAGGGCAACATATGTGCTTTCTGGCACCATATGGGTGCTCTCATCCTGCTGCAAAATAAATACTGATCTTCTGCTGCAGCCACAGATTCAAACATAAACTTAATGCAGATGTTACGATTATTAGTTGTCCTCTTTGCAGAAATTTGGTATATTTCAGTGAATATCTTTATCATTTAGCAACTTCAAAGACCTCAAGTAATAAGATTTATCAAAAGTGTGCAGTAAGTCTTAGTTTGCATCAGAGGGTTGCAGCAGCTACAGTATTGTTCACTTACTTGTCAGTCGCGAGGTGTGATAGTCCATCTATCACAGCTTTATCTACCTCACCTTGCTGGCCAACCTCCCATCCCCACCCCACGCTGAAACACTAGTGTCACCCGCCCCCCTTTCTTGCAGAGGTAGATGTGTGCCATCCCAACCCTTGTGCCAATGGAGCCACCTGTGTGGAGAGCGCAGACTCTTACAAATGCTTATGCCTGCCCAGCTATGGAGGGGAACGCTGTGAGATCGGTATGGGATCAGCTTCAGCTAATAAATACTAACAACAGCCTCTCAAAAACAACCGAAGAAAGAGAGAGAGAGAGAGAGAGAGAGAGAGAGAGAGAGAGAGAGAGAGATGCTAAACATCACGACTCCTCTGACACTCTACTTCTCTCTTGATTCATTACCTCAGTAAACATTGTGGACATGAGTTTATGTCATGTCACAGCTTAGGAAAGCACATTACAAGCACCAAATATATGACAACTTTGATCAAATATATGACAACTTTGAAAACGATCAATATTCTGATCGTTTTCTATGACCAGTGTTGTGTGGAAGCATATGGGGGAATTTGCACGCTAGCTAAGTAGCCAGCCGCCCGCTGGTTGGTTTGCTGGTTCCACCATGCTTTGTTGCTGCACTGGTTACAGATGATGAGTCCAACAGCGACCATCTTTTGATATCTCTAATGGTTTAGCCTTCTGCGTGAGCGTGCATCAGCCGTGGCCGCTGAGGAGGTTAGCAGAAAGCTAAGCTAAACTATTAGGAACATTTCCTCTCCATCTCTGAAACACTTCGCCGATATCGTGGCTCGCCAGAGCCTTGAATCACAATTTATCGTCTCACTTGTATGCAATATCAATTGTGGCACCCAACAACACAGCAAGATGACATTTTGAATGTGTATCTTTACCCACTTTACTCTGAGGGGATTCCTGTTGGCCTCAAGTCGTTTCTTTGTTTTGTCTCCAGCTAACACTGCGACACAATCATGACGTTGGCTGTAAAAGGGTCTATATGGGTCCATAAAAGCAACCAAAGGGCCAGTTCACCCCAATCACAAAAAATGTGTATATATTTTGCTCATCAAGTAATGCAGTAGGCTAATTGCGTGACAGTTTGTAAACAGGTGTTTTGATATAGTTTTGCTGGCTTTTAAACGCCACCACAATCACAATCTACTTCAATCCATCAAGACTTTTCTCAATTGTTTGATTCTTCATCTACCGTGGAGGCATGATTCAGTTTTATTCAAGAATTCAAAGTAACACAGGGTGAGTAATTGATATACTAATGGTCATTTTTGGGGGGTGAATTATTACTTTACGTGTGTTGAGACAAACTTTGGGTAAATGTGAAGATATCTTTTTATGTAATATGGGTGAACTGATCCTTTAAAATAAACATAGTCATTAAGGTGGAGCAAGAGAATGAATGAATGAAGCCTTTGAATGTTACAGTAAAAGGAAAAAAAGGGAAATTCACAATTGCATTACTGTTGGGCTGGGCTCTCTCTGCTGAAGTGAAGCATTATACATCATTTTCCATTCTGCATCGGGACGTTTGTTTTGTGGTCAAGGTGGAAACACTGTGTCTCGTCAGACTGACTGAGAGCATCACAGTGGAAAAATATGATCATCACTGACTCACAAGACAAGTACTGAAAATGTAGCTGAAACTGAAACACTACATGGGTTGTGAACAATATCAAGCACTTTATCCGCTGCTCAAACACAGAAAGCATAAGAATACAGAAGAGCTTCTCATCATCAGATGCTGTGCTTTAGTTTGCTGAGTCTCCGATGCCTAAAAAAATAACAAATATACTAAACTATACTGAATATACACACGTATATTTAGGTGAAAGTGCGTTCAGAGTGCCGTTGATTGAATGAGCGTTGACTCTTTGGTGTTGCGGCTGCAGATGAGCAGCGGTGTGAGGACGGTTGGACTAAGTTTCAGGGGAACTGCTACCTGCACTTCTCTGACAGAGAGATGTGGCTGGACGCAGAGCAGCACTGCCGGGACCTGAACGCCCACCTGGTCAGCATCATCACGCCAGAGGAGCAAGACTTTGTCAACTGTGAGTGCATAATGTTTGTGTGTGTGTGTGTGTCTGTGTGTTTGTTTTCATAGAGTTGGAGATGGTGAAAAATACAGTCTCAACACTTTTTTTTCTCCCATAGCAAATGCGAAGGACTACCAGTGGATCGGGTTGAATGACAAGACAGTAAAGAATGATTTCCACTGGACAGATGGCACTCCACTGGTGAGTGAGGGCTTTATACTGGTGTGTTGCTCCCATTATAGGAAGGAGAAAGTATAGTATGGTGTAGTGTGGTGGTTCCCAACCTGTTTGGTTTGTAAACCCTTAAAACAGAGTCTACTTGTGACACTTTGGGTACAGTATGACTACAGGTGGTTGTTCTCTCCCAGAAGGTTTTGTTTTGATACTCTTCTCTTCAAAACAACCACAAAGTGACATTATACGACTACAAAGAGACGCAAAACAACCACAGAGTGACATTATACGACTACAAAGAGACGCAAAACAACCACAGAGTGACATTATACGACTACAAAGASACGCAAAACAACCACAAAGTGACATTATACGACTACAAAGAGACGCAAAACAACCACAGAGTGACATTATACGACTACAAAGAGATACAGTATGACTACAACGTGACACAGACCAACTATAAAGAGATGCAAAACAAGAAACAAAACCACAAAAAGACATAAAACAACTACAAAGAAAAACATCACTGAAAGAAGATGCAAAATGTCCACAGAGAGACACAAAATGACCTCATTGATGAATGATGACTGAAAAATGAATAAGTGTCTCTATTTCTTTGGTCTAATTCTTTGCCAACTAAAGCAATGGAAATTGCTGTTTGCACTTGTTTGTTGTCTGAGCACTGCACCATAAACACAAGCTCAGCTGCACCACTCAACACAGGCAGCTTTATACAAAGGCACAAAAAAAACAGGTGCAAGCAGAAAAATGAATTGACTTCATTGCTGTGAGTTTGTATGAGAAACAGCACTGTGTTTAAAATAGCATGGCAGCGTAGGTGGACGCTTGTTGCTTCAGGTACCAGTTTGACTATTAGAATGATGAGTCGGAGGCCAAAACACTGCACAGCAGTTTATAATACGAGACAGGATTTCTTTAACTCTGGAAAGTTTCTGCAAAAAGTTGATCCAGGTTTACCTTTGTTGCTGGAGCAATCTTGAGGAAACCTTTGAAGAGAAGGGGCTGCATGTTTTCATAAATCCTGCTTACTTGAAGTGCAGAGTGATGAAAAGCGAAAGAGATTGAAATGAACCGTTGTGTGTTGTGGTCCCTTTTGCCTGTTTTTTAGTGTCTGCGTTTACCTTGTAGTAAAAGCATCTGTACACTTCCTCCTCTGCTTCAGCAATACGAGAACTGGAGGCTGAACCAGCCGGATAATTACGTCAGCTCTGGAGAAGACTGTGTGGCGATGATCTGGCACGAGAAAGGCCAGTGGAACGACGTGCCCTGCATCTACCGCCTGCCGTTTACCTGCAAGAAAGGCCCAGGTACGTTGGTCCAGACGAAGGTTTTAAAGCTGTGTTGATCTATTTACATGACACTAGGGTTCAAAAAAACAACGAAAAACCCACCAAGATAAGGTGACAGGCTATGAATATTATCGACGTTGGTGAATGTAAGAGCTGCTGAAGTGGAGATTTATCATCAGAGTCTGAGAACAAACTCATTTGAGAAAACGTCCTTTAAAGAGACGTTTAGTTACATTACAGACATTTAGAGACTCTACAGGTGAATAGGGTCAAAACATGAACTCATAGATATCACCATGGAACTTCACCAGTTCATTGCTTACTTTAAGACAAACATTTTTTGTATTACAAGCTTTCTGAAATGTTATGTTTAAATATGCAAATGAGGCATTATGTAATGGTAACTTTTGGGGAATTTCGGAGAAATCTACAGACATAAACAGACAAAGTAAAATAAACACGTAAATGTGTAGTTTTCTTTCCACTAGTCTGAAAGAAGACCAAAATCACTGATCAGTGCATGAAAACAACAACCTCTGGTTCTGTCCTCAGTGTCCTGTGGCGCCCCGCCAGAGGTGAAGAATGCCCACATGTTTGGTAAGAAGAGGGACGAATACCGCGTCAACTCCATCATCCGGTATCAGTGCAGCCCCGGGTTTGCACAGCGCCACCCGCCGACGGTTCGCTGTAAAGCAGACGGACAGTGGGAGAAACCCCAAGTGCAATGTACTGACGGTGAGTGCTCGTTATTCACCAAGTCTGGTAGAAAAAGCTTTGTGACCGGGGAGGACAGTTTTTTAACTCACTGTTGTGTTTTTCCCCCGTCGCAGTGAAAGCCAGATAAAGAATGCAGCGGAAAAGCAGCAAGCGTCTGGCAGCCGGCAGCAAGCTTCACTAAAATGAAAAAAGAAAAGAGGAATGAATGAATCAAGAACTTTTGCAGCGCACAGATTTTTGCTTGAGGGTCAAATCGTGCGACATCCTGTTTCGATCCCCCGTCCCTCATAATATATTTTAACTATACATTATCATGTTATTGCTCTGAGTTGATTTGCGTTGTGTGTTTTGTAACATAATTTTTGTTTCGTTGAAGTTTTAGCTGGGATATTTTGGTTCACATGAGTTTTACAGAAGGCAGCATCTGTCTGGTTCGATGTACTTTACTTTAGATCTGCAGCGCAGCGCGAGACAATCCATTACAGTAAGAACTTGTAGCTCAGAGGTAAACATACGTATTTAGGATCATTGGATGTGTTCTGGATTATTTCACACATCTAAAGTGGTTTCATTGGACATGATGTCTGGTTAAAGTAGCCTCCAGTTTCTTATATTTAATCTGCAGAGGACGAAGGGAAACTGCCTGTGACGTGTTGGCTGGTTTGGGTCTTTTGTCTTCTCTGCGTTTTAGTTGTCATCATCTTCCACGACGACGCTGTGCAGTGCATAGTGTATCTGTCAGTAAAATGAACCTGTTATCTGTTAATGTTGGTAACCTCAGAGGAAAGCATTACAGTGTGAAATGCCTGTTGTTGATGTCTTTGACCGCTTTCTTTTGTGCACTCGTTTTGTGTCGTTGTTTCTGTATTTGGGGGCTGTGCCCGCTTCATAATGTCACCAGCTGCATGATAAACCAAAGACGCGTGTGTCTGCTGTACACAACTCATGGTAACGTTGTGAATTCAAACAATAACTCTTGCTTGGGTTTGCGTGTGTCCACCAAGAATGTCCATGTACAAGAAACCAATAGTTTGCATCTAGTAACTGTTTCATGACCTGCCGTGATACCGGGCTGCAACACGCAGATAAACACGAGTGTAATAATGTCCATTCTGTCACTTCCAATGAAAATTCAAAGCCGATGTCAATTTGGGGACAAAGCGGTGATGTATTAATTCATATGAAACACTGGTTCTTTGCACGAGGCAGGAAATAGAGAAATAATATATGAATTAAGAGAAACATATTTTCGTCATCCTCACATGATGTCAGAATGAACTCACACCTCTGAGTGTTTGTACTCACGTCAGTCGATGCCACATTAAAACTCTTCTGTTGATACCTTCAGGTTTTTTTTTTTGTATGACTCCGTTCCTTCAGCACAACAACCTGAGGATGTTTATTTGTGTGAAACTTCTATAATTAGCAGACTGAAGACGTCACCGCCCAGGTGTTCCAGACAAACAGGTCTTTCACCTCTCGGTGTTCTCAGTGTCTCTGTGGCATGCGGTCGAGGTAAATAGGACACGCCGCTGACTCATAGGAATAATAAAAATGACGGCTAATTTGTATTTGACCAGCAGGGTGGCTCCCTCATGACTGAATAGGGTTCTTTTAAGGATCCTCCGTACCTCCACCCTTCACACACACCGGTTCACCTCTCTGCCCCGGCCCTCCGGATGAATCCTCTCTCTCTCTCTCTCTCTCTCTCTCTCTCTGCTCTCGCCATGTTTTGCACTCGTTAAATAGAAGAAAACAGAAAAATGTTTGCACCCTAAAACATACTGCTAAGTGCTTCCTGCTGTGAGAAAACGATGTCACATTACAGCACATTAGAAACACTGACCTTGTGTCAGAGGCCCTTGAATCTCAACATGGACCCTTAAAAATATATATCAGAACAAAAAAGGTTACACAAATAATCTGCATAAAAGGATAGCACTGTATCATGTAATAACATGTACATGGGAAGACTGGTCAAAATAAGCTGCCTAAAGGTATAGAACAATATTGTGGCAAATGCACTTATTTGCTTTCTTGCAAAGAGTTTGATGAGAGCATTTATATCACTTTCATATCTGCACACTAAATATGAAGAGAGAAGCTTAGCACAAAGACGGGGAACTGGGGAACAAGCTCGTCTGGCTCTGTCTGAATGTCACAAAATCCACCAACCAGCATCTCTAAAACTCACAAATGAACATGGTAATTGTTTGTTTGTTCAGTCCTTAAAGTGTAACAACGACAAGTTGCTGTTTTAAGAGTAGTTGTGTGTCTAATTCTTCTAATCTAATCTGAATATTTTACTCCCCAACGAAAAACCTTTTTGATCTTCAAACAAAACTCGTACCAAACAGACTTGTAGAGAGCTGTTTCTTATTTGTCATTAGCTCACAGCTGCAGTTAAAGGTTTATGAGGGTTTCATCAGGCGGCCACCTCCGGTTCTGCAGAGTGAAGCCAAAGCTTCATGTGTTAAACTTGCAGTCTCACTAATGTCCAGCAGGGGGCGACTCCTCTGGTTGTATAGAAGTCTATGAGAAAATGACTCTACTTCTCTCTTGATTTATTACCTCAGTAAACATTGTAAACATTAGTTTATGGTCTCAATCTCTAGTTTCAAGTCTTCTTCAATACAGCATGATGTTCATTTAGTACATTATGGTCCATTTAGACTCAAACAGACCATAAAGCAGGGTATAGTTTAGGGCGGGGCTACAGTGATTGACAGGTCACTGCTGGTACCAGAGCTGCATGACGTCTCTATGTGACTCCTCCGCATTCCAAATATGGTAACTTCCGTTTATCGGTTGTTAAAAAAAACCAAGATGGCGACGGCCGTAATCCAAGATGGCGACGGCAAAATAAACGAATGCGAGGCTTTAAAACATCAGTCCACAAACCAATGAGTGACGGCCTTTACTATGTTAAGACTGGCTTCCTGTTTTGATGCCGGTAGATGTGGTGGGGCTAGCTACCTAGGAAGCTGTTGGGCTGTGAAAGAGCTACGGAGTAAGTGCGAAGGAAGGGGGGAATTTACATCTCATGCTGTGATAGTTTCATGTAGGCTACGGTGAGTGAGGGAGCGAATCATCCATTTTCTGTTAATCACATGATCGGTTGTGCAGCGGTCTGTATCAAGTGTGCTCTGTGTGATCAGCCCCTAATGCTGCATGTCAGCATGGGTGCTAACGTTAGCAATGTTGCTACTTCCTGCTACCCGCACAAACGATATGTCATTATGAAAGCTGGGCCTCCATTGATTTCAACTCCATCACTCTTCGACCAAAACTCACTGAGCCAGCACCCGAACAATAAACTTCACTTTACACAGCCATAATGTCTTACGTTTGCTGTTTAGTGACAAAAGTCACTCAAATAACGGTTACTCCAATACCTCTGGATCTTTTTTGAGTCGGTTCCAACCGTCTCTCTTTATTTGCATGGCGTGGAGGATCGTCTGCACACTTCACTCCAGCAGTGAACAGCCTATCCTCAGCGTTCCATGTGACAACACGGTATATGTCTCCATCTGGTGGATGAATTGTGGTACTGCACTCATTAATACAGGCATGATGCGTCCTCATAGACCAACAGTTTATGGTTTTATTTGAATAGCAACATGTATAGTGGTCTGGTTGATTAGTTTTTCAAAACGAAAGCAAAAAAATGTTGTATTTACATATAATTAGTACCTATAGTGGCATGTAAATTAAATGAAATGAGTTTCACAGTTACCTGGATAATTTTAAATGGCACAGATGGAGCCCAAATCTACACAAATGGCCAATTTGATGATTCCACCAGAACATGCTTTTACTAAAACCTCTCCAACTTTGCTCTGCTTCACTTCATCATGATGTTGTGAAGTGGTTTACTTCAGATGTTGGGCTGCAAATGCATCATTCTACAGAGATATTCACTCTACAAGTTTACAGTTTTGTTTGGTGGGAATTAAATCTTTCATCTATGTTGTCTTCATTTACTCTGGCTCGGTTACATATATATATATATAGTAACGCTTACATCTTTACGTGTCACCTTTATTATGATACCAAGATTATTCAAATAAATCTTGTAGTTGCAGAGATACTCTCTATTCATTTTGGGAATGTCATATTCAGGCAGGGGCCAAGGCAAGTGTGTTCACCCAAAAGCTTATTCATGAACTTCTATTTCATATTATATTATATATTAATAGTAAATGCATTGTTTCCAAAAAGCCCCTAAAACAATTTATAGAAGTAAAAAGTCACCCATTAACTCCTCACAAAGTGATGTAAAAGAGACTGTGAAAATAAATCATTTACTTTTTTTTATCGTAAGGAATGTGCTGCTCAAAAAAACCCACATGAGCAAACACACAGATGATGTTTTTACATATTTGTAAACGGACAGGTTGTTGTAAGATACAAACACATTTTATTTTAACTCAGGAGTCACACCACTTATTTCACAAGTAGAATACAAACATCTGTGAGCTTTCCTTTATGTTTGTGGTGTTTGTTTGAGGTTTTCCTGAAACAAAAATAACAGCTCCACTTCCCATCTTTACTGCACACACAAATAATAACCCTCATGACCTTCCTTCACAGAAACAACACTGGACAGGCCAAAAGAGTCCACATCTTCTTCTTCTTTGGTTAGTGGCAGTACTTGTTTGTTGGTGTTTGAGCTTCATTTAGCCAAATGGAAATCACTCAATGGACCTTTAAGAGAAAACCATAAAACATTTCTGGTGTGGGAGATTTTCAGATTGTTGCTGTACTAGTTGTTTTTTCTTCTCCCCCCACTTTTTATAAATGTTTTTTAAATATTCTGTCTAGTCTAAGAGCCCTCAGAAAGTAGATGGCTCGAGAGGTTTATCCTTTAATTTCGAAATTAAATAAATATAATAATTCTGCAGGTACGTTTCATATATGTAGTCAATTAATAATAATAATAAAAAATAAATAAATAAACATTCATATCAGGTATTATCATGACTAAAAACTACAATTGAATTGTATTTGTGGCTTTTATTATCTGCTGTGCCCCTTTTGTTTGCGGAACCAAAGACACCACAGCTCTGTTTCCGGTTGGACCACTAAACACGGGGGACTTCCGTCGGTGCCTCTTCTAGCTGGATAACGATGGCTTTCCCTGAGTTTACGTGGGAATAATTAAAGTTGTATGACAACAAACAATCAATGCAAAAACACCCAGCCCGTCGGAAGAATGTAACACAGTTACTGTGATTATTAACGTGATTTATTAAAAACAAACGCTAGTTAGCTAACCGATGCTAACTAAACGCTCCGTAAAAGTTGCTTGAAGTTGTCGACACAACACTGTTACCGTTAGCTTTGGTAAGTCTTAAAACACACGTGGCGTTATGTTGTGATGAACTGAGAAGAGGCTCAACATCCACCGTTTGACTCATCGATGTTGGCCACTAATGCGTTTGCCCTGCGTTAGCGAGGACGACACCTTTCTAAAAGATGACGTATTCATATAGTTTAATATCAGACAGCTGCAACACCCCGATTATTATTAATAAGAAGTGTTGCTTGACTTGACTATTATTTTAAATTGTTGTAAAATAACCTTATTATTTAACTTTATTTCTCCAGCTTTGTTGTCCTTGTCTCCTTCATACATGCACTTACAAAGCATACACATGATAATAGAAGTTTTCTCAACCTGAGCTTTACTGCACGTGATTTGTACCTCGACTTTATTTTAAGGAAGATTGATATGTGTGTGATGATATGTGTCGGCTACCTCTGAATCACTGAAGAACAATAGAGAACAGCAGCTTAGTACTTAGTGTCTACAGACATGGTTTCATTTGTCATAGCAGTGAAAAGCTCAGGTGTGATTAAAAACATTAACATTTCAATAGAAGTGTCACAGTATTAATGTTATTAATTACAGTCAAATGTCTACTGTGAAAAAGGTCTATTCCTGCTGTTTAGATGACAGAATACTTCACTTTACCTGTCGTGATTGGAGACATGATAGTGAAGGAAATATTAATAATACACACTGTATAAGGGCTCATTGAGACTCTGGCAAAAGAAGAAGAAAGACGAATATCTTGACAAAAATGTGACAAAATGTCAAGGATATAAAAAACAATATTGCATACATTTGACATTGTGGATGTAAAAACAGCTCAAAGTTCAGCAACAATGACATGATGTAATGAAAAGGCGTTGAGGTGAGTGTCAGACCTTCTGTAGAAAGTGTGTTCAGGACTTTAGCTGGTAGTAGCGTCACCATGTTGAGTCTCCATTCTGCCTCTTATGTGCTTTCTATTTGTCTGTACAGGTTGATGGCCGGTGTCGCTCCCCCCGTCCCGTCCGCTCTGGCCTCATTTCTCTCCACGTTGCTTCCCCGGGGCTTCGCCGTGGGGCCCTCGCGGCTCTGTGGGGGCACGGTGGGGCTGTGGTGGGTCGGCCGCTCGCTGGAGGCCGGATCCCTGCTGGGGAGGGACGGGGACACGGAGTGGGCCTACGAGTGTCAGCCCGACCCGATGACAGACGGTGAACCCACGACGGACCCTGAATCCGAAACATGTCAGACCAACAGCACAGACGCAGAGAAGGTGATTTGAATGCACAGATTTGTTTCTCTCGTCTCCCGACTGGCTTCGGTTTGATTGACAGACGTTTGTGGTCCCATTTAGATTCAACGTGTCTCATGATTTGACATTCAGCGAGCAGCAACTTCTTTACTTTGAAACCGTTTTATCGACCGTGTGCGAATCAATGCTTGTCATTTCGACAAAACACGAGGAGAGTCCCGAAAAGTGAAGCCAAAGCTTCATGTGTTAAACCTGCATTCTCTCTAGTGTCCACCAGGGGGCGACTCCTCTGGTTGTATAGAAGTCTATGAGAAAATGACTCTACTTCTCTCTTGATTTATTACCTCAGTAAACATTGTAAACATGAGTTTATGGTCTCAATCTCTAGTTTCAAGTCTTCTTCAATACAGCATGATGTTCATTTAGTACATTATGGTCCATTTAGAGTCAAACAGACCATAAAGCAGGGGATGCTTTAGGGCGGGGCTTACTGTGATTGACAGGTCTCTACCAGAGCCGTATGTGGTGTCTCTACGTCACTCCTCCACAGTCCAAATATGGTCACTTCCTGTTCATTGGTAACAAAAAACACAAGATGCCGAAAGATGTGAAAAGTCGCCGCTGCTTCACAGATTACATTTTTTGTTTTTACTAATCTCAATGTGCAAAGTCACTGAAATCAATACATATTCAAAGCACAACCGACCTATCAGATCATTCATAGTTTACACTAAGTGGGACTGAGTCAGACATGGACAGTATTCATCACTACTGTGAATATAAAGGTAGCTGTCAGCAGTCAACCAATCTCTGTAGACATGACCCCATGGCTCATGGTTCATTCATGAAACGTGACGTCATCCAGAGCAATTTGTTCTTAGTGTAGGAGTTTGCTCTCAGCAGCCTCGTAATAACTTATTATTTCTCATTTCGTGAGCACACCTGGTAGAAAATAAGATAATTTGTGCAGCGTGTAAATACATTTGTAACCTTCTATGTTGTGTTTTGCAGGCACTGATTGAGAAAGCAGCAAATACAGAAGAAGCTTTAATAAAAAGAGCCGTCTGGATCAAGTAAGTGGACTCACTGCTTCACACTGAAGGAACTGAAGCTCTTTGTAGAGTTATTTTAAGCCTTTTTAACAGCAAATCAGCACATGGATTGGTTTGATGTATTTATTTTAAAGTTACATTGAGGAGCAATTAACTGGTCCTGAACCAGTCTCAGTTTAGTCCTGATCCTCTATCAGACCTCCATCAGTAAAGAGATCATCAGAGAGAAGATGGTCTGTTTCTATAGAATTATTCTTAATGCTCGTCATCGGAGCCACCGGGTCGGATTCTGGTGAAACCAGATGAAATCATGCAGGTTCACCAGAACCTCCTTCAGCTCAGACTCCAGCAGAGACCGGTCCACCGTGGACAGACCCAGATCCTCCAGCAGAGACTCTGGTGCTCAGAAACACTACCACTTTAGTCCACAGGGACCGACAAAAACACAAAATAAAAGTTCTTTGAAGTACTTTTAAAATGCAAAATACAACATAAGGGACTTCTTTACCACATTGAGTTTGATATGTTTGTCAACGCTGTGGTTTATATTGTGTTGGAGGTGAAACTGGGAAAAAAAACAATTTTCTGCAACCAGTTTTAACACCTGTTTATGTTCATACAGTCCATTGTCCCATCGTCATATCTGACTTCATATGCATCAATGCACTCGGGTCTTTTCTGTTCTCTGTAATCTCTGACTGTGGTTCAGAAGAAACATCCTCATGAAACAGATTCCTCTTCACGTCAGACCCCGTTCTTACAGTACAAATACTCTAAACTGGGATTATATACACATAAACATGTGCACCACATTTACATTCAGTTTAACATCTCCCCTTTTGCGTTAATTTCTCCCTCAGATTTGCCTGCCGGGCGCGAAACAGAGCCCAGCAGAACGTGTCGGAGCAGTGCGCCTGTGGAGAGGTGTGTGCGGCCGGGTGTGTGGAGGCGTGTCTGCGCGTATGTCGGGACATCCAGCCGGGAACAGAGCTGCTGCTGTACGGAGGAGGAGACGCGGTGGGAAGAAGTCAGACAGCAGACGAACACGACTCCACTGGACACATAGGTGACGACTGTTTACAGGCAGGCAGACAGGTGGTCATAGAGCCATCAGCAGAAAAGATGAATTCATTATGTTTGATGTCTCACTGAAGTCTGAGAGGATTCATTAAGTTATTAATAACCAGGTTGATCCCACACTGAGATGATGGGATTGGTTTCATTTGCATGAGGACATGGAGAAATGCATCAATCACGGACAAAACAATACGGACTCTGTGTGCACAGGCCACACAGAGTTTTATTTTCTCACAGCTTGAGAGCGTAAACACTTCTATCACTTTTAATTGTAGGATTTTGTTCTGATAAAAACCTGACAGTTGATGTAAAGCTGCGTTAGTCCGTTTTTTGGCCTCTTGGCGGCAGAAATTTACAACAATTCATAAATCACACCCGTCTGATATATTAAAGGCTCCTGAAGTCTTTGTGTTTGTGTCCACCATATCCGTCTGCTTAGCTGCTGAAATGCCCAACAGTACAAAAACACCAACAGAAAGTTAAGATAAGAATACTTTCATGAGGTCCAATGAGCTGAAAGATGCTTTTCATTTAATCTAGAGCTGTCCTCCCCTTCTCACAGTCTGGCACCCTAAATGTGTGATTACTGCTTCTCCGGCATTAATCACCTGTAAACCCTTCATAGAGTCATCACAGTGTGTGGCTCACACTTCAGCCCACTTCATATTTACTCACACTCTCCACCTGGAGGAGCTAGAGGGACGTTAAGTCCAGAGTTCAGTGGAAACAACCGTCATTCACCATCCAGTGTTCTAATTACAGTCTCAGTTACAGTGAAGTGAAATGACCTGCATGTTAACACAAAGATCACAGCAGATGAGTGAGCGTCCACTGCACCTCCTCATTATCTAGCGTCACGAACATCCGTCTCATTGGACGGCTCCATGAAGAAGAACCTCTCCGATCAGCTGGAGATGATTAATAAGAGGAAGAACCGTCTCTGAACAAAGAAAACAGAATCATCGAAGCACGGTTGTCATGTAGGAATAATGCGCTCCGCTAATCCTTCAGCAGCATTTGTGTGCTGTGATTGATAGGACATTAAGGAGGACCTCCATGCAGAGAAGAAACCCACCGAGCAGCAGCAGACTGTCTCCGTCTTATTAAACTCTTGCTCTTCTGTTAGCTTCAGCCTATAAATCATCAAAGCATTTCCAAAACAATAACGAATGCTAAATGAAAGATAATAAGATAAGAAACAATTGATCCCTGCAGGGAAATTACGTCGTTGTGCTCGCAAATATTAATTATATTCAGAGGGAGAAAAGAAAGCTGCAGTAGAAGCCAGAAGTACAATAACGAGGAGATACGAGGAGATTTCAATGAATTCAAAGTAATGAAACTAAAACTATCAGGTCAACGGAATGTAAACAAGTGGAAATTCTACCAGAAGAAAAACAGCAAGATGTGACATTTATTGTAGATACTGTACATGAATATGAGTAGGCACACGGTGTACATACAGAACATGTTCATGTGTATAAATATGTAATTAAATACATTTACTGCACTTAAGTGAACTATGAGGGTAGTTGTTCTGTTTTACTTTATATTTCACTAGAATTCAAGTTAATACAGTTGTACTGCACGTATGTAACAGATACAGTTACTAGTAACTTTACAGATTCTCTTCATAAAATCCTTCATGAGCATAAAGATACATAGTACATAGTAAAGTACATAAGTGTTTGTGTTTACAATAACTGCTATCAGTTTGACCTTTACCACTTTGTTTCAGAACCATGGACAGCAGTGTGTGTGCTTGCGTGCGTGTGTGTGTTGGACAGTCGATAGATACTTTTAGTGGTTAGAGTGAGAGAGAGTGAGAGTGAGTGATAGAGACACAGACAGACAGACAGACAGAGAAATATTCAGTTGACGAAGCTGTAAAACCTAGAAAATTTGCAAATCTTGACATTTGAGAAGCTGTAAGCTGATCAGGTTTTGCAATTGATGCATGAAAAAATGACTTCAATGATTAATCGATTATCAAAGTTGTTGCTGATACATTATCTCTTAAATCAACTAACCCATTTCACACGGCTTCACTGTCATTGTTCTTTCTTTTGTTGGACAGATTTCGCGGTGGAGACTTTAGCCGCCGACGTTTCTGTCATTCAAGAGACGGAGGAGGAGGAGGAAGAGGAAGAACGGCGCAGGTGCATCAAGAGGAGTCATCGGATCACACACCTGAGGAACAGGAGAGTGAAGGAAACCCCGGACAATATCACATCATCAGGTGGACAGACAGACGGCACATGTGGTGTCCCGGCTGCTGTGGACAGACAGACGCACCGTGAACCCACAGACCGTCCCGTCCGCTGCAGCTCCCGCCTGGCTGCCAAACCGCGACGCATTCACTGTGTGAGCGGCCACGGGAAGCAACCGCCCGAACAGACGGAGGGACGGGGCCGGAGCTCCGCCGAGGACGCCGCCGCCGCGCCTCCTCCAGACGAGGCGGTTCCCGAGAGGAGGACCTCGGGGCCCGACGAGGTCCTTGCCGAGGAGACGGTTCTCTCGTGGGATCCGGAGATCAGAGAGAGGCGGTACAGGTGCTCCAGCTGTGGGAAGAAGTTCTACCAGATCGGTCACCTGAAGAAGCACCAGTTCAGCCACACGGAGGAGAAACCCTTCAGCTGCCAAGAGTGTGGGAAGAACTACACCTCAGCAGAAAGCTTCAGAGCCCATCAGGTACAGTGCAGGATGTGAGAGAACTTCTTTCTTTCCTTTCTTTCCTCAGTCCAAAAGGAGATTTTATTGATATCTGCCAGTTGAATATAGTATTTATTGCTGCGTTGTTGTATTTTAATGTGGGCCTCTAAAGATTGGATCATGAAACCTGCATTCTCTCTAGTGTCCACCAGGGGGCGACTCCTCTGGTTGTATAGAAGTCTATGAGAAAATGACTCTACTTCTCTCTTGATTTATTACCTCAGTAAACATTGTAAACATGAGTTTATGGTCTCAATCTCTAGTTTCAAGTCTTCTTCAACACGGCATGATGTGATGAAGACATTTCTTTTCTAAATGACCACAAACATACTGACCGTCTGTGTGCAGACATTCCTTGTTGTTAATGTGGTAACACTTACACCGACATTGTCAGATGATATTTGTTTCCCTCCCTCTTTCTCGGCTGCTCTTTATCTTCTTTTACAAAAGACGATTTTATCCTCGTTGCTCGCGGACTTGACAGCTAAATGGCCTCAGACAAACAACAACACGTCACCGGTGGCTTTTTTTAAACAGTGGGTGTTTCTCCTTCCTTTTACTCAATGCTCCCTTGATGACCACGAGCTTAGTCATCATGCAGGGTAGCAATCTACTCGTCCCAGTGAGAAGCGACAGCAGTGATAACACGTCTCACTCGTGATGATAATAACGGTGTTATCTGCAGATGAGTCACCGCGGCGAGCGCCCGTTCTCCTGCCCTCACTGTGAGAAGTCCTACGGGCTGAAGCGGGACCTGAAGGAGCACCTGGTCCTTCACACCGGGGAGAAACCCTACGTCTGCGAGCACTGCGGCAAGGCGTTCGCCCGCCGGCCCTCGCTGCGCATCCACCGCCTGCTTCACTGCAGCAGAAGGATTTACACTCAGCTTCCGAAGGTAAGGGGGTGTGGTACTAGTTCACCGCGCTGGTGAAGGTTCCCTGTGGGGGGTTTAGACCTCCAGTGGAACTGCTGGTTCTATCAGTGGATCCACGTTCTGTTTGTTCTCGTCACACTGATCTACAGGTGGAGGGAACAACGGCTAGGTTAGATCAAATAAACCTTTAGTTTAGAAATATGTTTCTTTTGACAGACGTAGTACATACAAATAGAGAGATTAAAAGATATATAAATAATAAAAGTTATATAAAAATATATAATACAACTTAAAAAAATATATATAAAAGCATTTAGAGGCCAAAATTTTAAGGTAACGTGATTTGTTTAATAGCAGCAGCTTCAACAAACCTATGTAAAAAGTGTGCATCAGACTGATGATGTTAATACAAGAAGAACTTTATTTAAATAACATTTGATTCCAGGAGGAAGCGTTCAATGTGCTGCTCAATGAGCGACCACGATAAACACAATTAAACCAGACACATAAAGGATACATGTGAGTTAAAACCATTAAGAGGTACGAATATAAATGATATATTATTATATATATATATATATTAAATAAAATAATATAAATTATATATATATACATATCAGGGTCATATTTTCTCACCATGCGATTAAAAGCTTTTCCTGCTGCAGTTCGTCTCTTTGTCGTGACTTTGTGTCGCTGCATCCGAGCTAACGCTAGCTAGCTAACGTTTAATATTTAATTCATGTTTTGTTTTGTGCCGCATTAAACAATCACAGAGCTTAAATGAAATTAAATGTTTGATTTGTTATTGTGCAGGAAAATTAATATATAATAAATGAATTTATAGTATTTAGTTGTTATTGACAGCCCTAAAATCTGTAACATATTAACATAATATAGTATAGTATGTCAAATTATGATGTATTATGGAATATAAGATATTGTAAGGTGAAAGATAGTAATATCTATAATATATAGTATAGACAAAATATATAACAAGTAAATACTTTAGTATTAGTATTTAATGCAGTATTGTATGGGTGTTAATAAGTATAATAAAGTAACGTGTAGAATAACTATAGTATAATATATATGCAGTATAATAGAATAAATCAGTTAAAGGCGGCAACAAAAATCATCTCCATAAATGTTTTATGAGGAAGGAAATACGTTCAACTCACAGAAACACACAATAAGTTCTGGAGATTCAAAGTGAATCAAAATATAACTTTTGCTTGTTTACAATAAAAACCCAGCGGTTCACTTTAAGTGCTCGTTCACTCGTGTGTGGTGACATTTTCAAGTTATTTGCTGTTTTAATAAGGAGCACAGTGGGCAGGGTCATTTTTCATTCATGTGCAGATTTCTCCTTTCTTTTAATGGCTGCTGCCTCTTCACCTTCCCGGCAGCTATTTCACAATTTGAAACGCAGTTTCTAAAAAAGATTGTGTTTCTGTCTCTGCACCGCTCAGCTCGATTTAAAAATCTGTCTCTTAACATCTTTGAATTAGCATGCAGGTCTGTTTTATTCTCCTGGAACAGCAGTTTGAACTTGGCCGCATTCAAAAAGAGAGAAAGAAAAAGACATGCTGCCTTTTGATTTCGTTTTTTCACTCTCCTCCCTCAGGTGCAGTGTACAGTCTGCCCCAAGCTGCTGGCTAACTCCGGCTCTCTGAGGAACCACATGAAGCTCCACACGGGAGAGAAACCTCACGTCTGTCAGCACTGTGGGAAGTGCTTCAGTCAGAAAGGTAATGTCAGAGGCCCCGAGACTGATCCTGGAGCTGCTACGAGCTGTTTAACAGCTCAGTTTGATGACGCTGCTGCGGTCAGTTCTCTGTTGAAGGGCCAGCAGGCTGCTCGGATACGTTAATGCAAAGTGAGCGTATGAAGTGATGAATCATTTGAGCTCAACTGAACTGTATTTCATTTAACCTTTATTTAGCCAGAATAATCCCATTGAGGTTTTGAATTACATTTACAAAGCGGTCGTGTCCCACACAGCCACCACATAAACACACAAATAACAGAATCAATGAACAAAACGGCAGAAAGTTAAAAACAACATAAAAAGAGTCTTAAAGCTGCATTCTCTCTGCTGTCCATCAGGGGGCGACTCCTCTGGTTGTATAGAAGTTCTAAGAGGATCCCGTCTCCTGCTGTGATCAATTCCCACAGTTTATGTTTTCATTTGTCAAAGTGACAACATCGATTTTGTGAGAGAACCAAGTCTTTTCACACGTTATCGCACGAATGCATATTCACTGCGCCTCGCTCCCTCTGACTGTCCGCCTCTCAGGGAACCTGGAGTCTCACTTGAGAACTCACAACGGGGAGAAGCCGTATCCCTGCGGCGAGTGTGACCAGAGCTTCTCCCAGAAACCAGACCTCCGTCGGCACATGTTTTCCCACACGGGGGGAGGTTTCCTCTGCAGCTACTGCGGGAAGTCACTGAGGGACCCGCACAGCCTGAAGTCACACGAGAGGCTGCACACCGGAGAGAGACCCCATCGCTGCCCCGTCTGCGGAAAAGGTTAGAAGACGATAGCATAATTTAAAAGTCATTAAGATTATGAGAAGAAAAATCAAGGGAGGAAATTGGCTGTGGGGACAAGTGCTTTAATCTCTCGTCCCCCATTTGGGATGCCAAATCCCCTCAGCACCACCGTCCTTATCACTGGGATTGTGGCAGCGTGCCACTCTTTTTATGGCCAAGTTAGAAAGTTTTGAAATTCTCCTCAAAGTGGCTTTAAAGCTGCACACAACAAACTGGAACATGTCTATGTTATCACCTCTTAACGTTGGTGAACGTGTTCCATCCTGCAGACGTAGAACAAGTTGTGTTTCTGGTCACTTGGCATACGTAAATATTCACTCTCTTTTTTGTCCATCAACAATCAAAAATCACTGTTTTCAAGACACGAACGAGAGCAGCGAGAGCTGCTCTGTCTACTGGTGACTGCAGCTCTATCATTCATTCTCACAATTAGATCCATCTTCATGTGTTCTTTTGTGCTTTCACAATAAAATGCTGAATTTCACAACAATGTCCAGTCGCTCTTGTTCTGAATACCAGTAGAGAGCAGTCACAACTCACCAGACAGCACGACCGTAACAGTTACAGACTCCCAGTGGACAGCTTTTGAAAAAATATATCATGTCTTAAATGAAACTCGATGCGGCAGAGCCAGAGATATTGTCTTTCATGTTTTCGGGTCGGTCCTTTCTATTCTCGTGAACGTGATATCTCAGCAGCACTTTGAGGGAATTTCTTCAAATTTGGCGCAAACATTCACTTTGACTTCAGGATGAACTGATTAGAACCTGGCGGTCCAAGGTCAATGTGACCTCACAAAAACACGTTTTTTGGCCAGAACTCAAGAATTCATAAGCTAATTATGACAATTTCACACAAATACAATGATGAATTGATGACATTTTGGACAGACGTGGATGTAAACTGTAGGCTGTTTGGCGGAGGCAAACAACCTCGAGGCTGTAATTCTAGTTTTATTTTAAACTTGTCTTCAGCCCCAACCTGCACACGTCTCTCTCTGGAGACACTGGAGGTTTTATACTACCTTTTATTGCCGTACTGAGTAGTTTGAAGCTTCAGTCACAACATTGACATTTGAACTCTAAATCAAGAGTTAGTTTTCTTCTTGCATGTCTACTCGTTCTTTCTGCGCAGTTGCAGATAAAGATCAGGCTCCACTAACATTAATAGTGTTACACTCTTTTAGAGTTACATTTCACTGGTGGCTGCCTTGTTTCCAACTCGTGTGATCAAAACATTTCCAATAACTCCAGAGTGTTGTAAAGTCTAAATGTATTGAACAAAAATATATTTTTATGATTTCACCACACGTTTTTATCCGATGAAACATTCTGCTTCGATCCATATTTGTTGGTGTTTAGCCTTTCAAAAACGACATTTTCATTAAAATGTTTGCAAACTCTTAACATACAAATTCTAGAACAAAAAAAAGAGAGAGAGTTGTTTAACCTAAAGTTCCAAGAGCACGAATGAGCATAAATAAATAAAGAAAGCAATAAAGTGAAAATCCAATTTTAAACTTCACTGCAAAGAGGTCTTTAAAATGTTTTCCAAAATATTTCTTTCAACAGAATAATGTTTTATGGATTGTTGATTTTTTGATGTTTGCTCTCAGGCTACACGTTAGCCACGAAGCTGCGGAGACACATAAAGTCGTCCCACCTGATAGAGAAGCCGTACAGCTGCCACTGCGGTGCTTCATACACGGTGAGACAGAGTCTGCTGAGGCACCAAGCTCAGCACAGGACCGAGGGAGGAACTCAGGAGGAGGTGAAGGCGGCCGAGTCGGAGGAAGGACACGGAGAGGAGACGGAAAGCAGCAGAGCGACGGAGGAGGAGGTGCACGAGTCGGCTTCTTCTGGCTCCGGTCACCCGAAGCCGATCAGAGGCCGACCCAAGAAGAGCTCGCTTCCTCTGGGGGAAGGAGAGAAGGAGGAGGGTCAAGTGAGGCGGAAAAGGGGACGAGGAAAAGTGGAGGAAAAGGAGGCGAGGAAAGAAACTGGGACGGGAGGAGACGAGGAGGCTTCAGGTAACATCCAACATGTCGTCTACGTCCACGCAGACGGCCTGTCCATAGACAACTCGCTGCCCTCAGGGACGGAACAGGAGCTGGTGGAGGTGGTCATATCGGAGGGCGCAGAGCAGTGCATTGTGGTCCACGGGCAGCAGACAGTAGGGGAGCTGCTGATCCTACAGGAGGAGGGGGACGGACTCTGCTCTGTGGCGCAGACAGTTGAGATAAACACAGGGTAGTCTGGTGGCTTCTACAGGACAGATGTTTCAGAGGGATCAGGTCGTGTCACACAGATGTTACAGCAGATTTCATCAATTCATCATGTTCACTACATCTCGGTTAACTTAAGTTGTGGTTTACACGTGTCTTTTTGTCCAATCATGCCCGGACGCATTAACTGTCAAGTCTGTCTCCGAGATCGTATTTTGCTCGTATTGGGATTCAATCAGCCAGACCACATGCTGAGTTGTTTTGGCTCCTTTAGAGTCCTTTTCAGTTACTACTGACAAAAAACCCCAATATTTCCTGATTTTTGTAGCTTCAAAATAAAAACCTTTTAAATAAAAAACAATTGCGGGGGACTTTTATTGTGAAGAATTTGTTAGCAGCTATTCTTCAATAAAAACAAGTCAGCTAATACTGCAGGGAGGAAGAGTAAGCACCAAACATAACACGGGACTTTTATTGTGAAGAATTTTTCGGAAATGAAATGTGTTGATCCACCAAATTAGCAGAGTTTTGTAAGCTGCTATTAAACAAGTCTAGTACAACTACAGGGAGGAAGACTGAGCAGCAAAAATAACGGGACTTTTATTTTGAAAAACAGGAAATTGAACATGTTGTTCACAGTATAAACAAAGCTTTGTTGGCGGCTATTCTTCAATAAAAGAAGTCTACTAAAACTGCAGGGAGGAAGAGTAAGAAGAAAAAGTAACAGTGGACTTTTATTTTGAAAGATGTGAAATGTGTTTCTCATCCAATTAGCGCCGCTTTGTTAGCGGCCATTCTTCAATAAATCAAGTCTACTAACACTGTAAGGAGGAAGAGTAAGCAGCAAAAATAACGGGAGACTTTTATTGTGAAGACTTCACAGGAAATGAAATGTGTTCAGCTAGCGCATCGGATCACAAAAGACGCATTAAATAAAGAAAAGTCTCCGGTCTCAGACACCTACCTCGTCTGCATTTCTTTCTTTATTATTCTCTGCGTACCACCGGATCGCCTTTGAACCACCACCACAGAACTCATTAGATGTAATGAGCCGCTGGTTATGATTATAATAAAATATATAGTCCTACATGACAGCTAGAGGAGTACAAGTCCCGCCCCTCACTTAGATGACAACATGTTTCAGTAACTGCTGACATAAAGTTTGACATAGTTCATCCTCTGGAGTTTAACAGAATAAAATGACACCCAGAAATGAAAACCTACTTTTGTGACACCGACCAAGTATTCACAGCTGCCTGCACACAGTCAACACTTTATGTATTTCCTCTAAAGCAATGAAAACGCCTTCAGAGGAAGATGAATAACAGCTTTTGAATAAACAGACCGGACTCTTAAGTTTCATTTGCCCTCAGTTTTATCTGTGAAGTTAGCTGAGAGTGATGTAATGTAGCCCCGGTGTGTTTGGATGTGGAGCGAGCGCTGCGCCGAACTACATTTAACAAAAAATAGCCTTTTAATTGCTACATTGTTCGTCATCAGCCGGTCGTGTGGTAACTTAAGAGCCATTTTGGCCTTGTGTGCTCTGATTAATTTGGCTTGCTGTTAACACAACGGTCATAATTACGTTTTAATGAAAACTCGACTGTTGGCTCCTGGTGTTCTTTTGGAAGAAGTAAAAGGTGAAGCAGCTTTTAAAATTACCTTTTTTAAGTGCTGTTAAAATTCATGCCCATGTGTAGAGATTTCTGTGGACTTTGAAGTAACAGATGCATATTTAAAGAAACTGAACATAATTTGGTGTTTTTTTGGTATATTTCTTTTAAACAATGCGACATTAGTTTGGTTGTTTTGTACAGTTACTTGAAACATGAAAAAAATCATGATGTGATATTTTACACAACACTGAGAAATACCTAGTCACCTTATAACGGTAATATGGTTGATATATTATATGGAGCAACATTAGCTTTCATTCAGATTGGTGACCAATAGTCAGGCTCCTTTTGGCTCTGGTTTGGTCTCCACCAACTCCCCCGAATCTCACTGTAAGTACTGAAAAGAAATTACCAAAATCCGTCACAACTCCAGATCGTATTGTATTGTTTTTATTTATAGGATTTTGTTTCATATAAACCCTGAAGAATATTGACTTAATGCTGCAAAAAGACCTTTACACACCGGGGACGTGACTATAGACTGTTTATAAGAAGTGGACGTAGTCGACCGGACGTCACCTATTTGGTTGTGGACTGATGTTTTACAGCCTCCAGCTCGGTATTTTGGCCTTTGCCATCTTGGTTTTTTGCAACTATTGAACAAAAGTGTCCATATTTGGACCGAGGAAGAGTGACGTAGAGACGCCGTATACGTCTCTGGTAGAGACCTGTCAATCACCGTGTAGCCCCGCCCTAAAGCATCCCCTGCTTTATGGTCTGTTTGACTCTAAATGGACCATAATGTACTAAATGAACATCATGCTGTATTGAAGAAGACTTGAAACTAGAGATTGAGACCATAAACTCATGTTTACAATGTTTACTGAGGTAATAAATCAAGAGAGAAGTAGAGTCATTTTCTCATAGACTTCTATACAACCAGAGGCGTCGCCCCCTGGTGGACAGTAGAGAGAATGCACTTCAACATTGGCTTCACCTTTCAGAAACGGAGGTTGCCGCCTGGACGGGACGAATACACGACTCGAAAATGCGGAATATTTTGGATTTGTTACTTCCCAAACGATAAATGTTAGTAACTTCAGACAGAGGCTCAAGCCCAGCGGCCCCCTAAGCTGTTTGGCCCCTGGTCGGCCTGTCCTTTAATCCCATTACAGGCGATATGAAATGTATTGATACAATCCTCACGGTGCCCATCCCTTTATGTCTCATTCAATTTCTGTTTGGTGAAATTGGCTTATTGAAAGGTTAGAAAGATCATCTCTGGTTGCATGATATCGTTCATCGTCTAATTTAAAAAAAAGACCCTAAAAAAACATGTTGTTTTATAGCAGTATTGGCACCATTTTGTTTCTTTTTTTTTACTTGAGGTAAAACATTGATGTTTACATGTTTTGCCTCCTTAACATCACCAAATAGTCACATGAAACTCTACAGAGGAACTACAGGAGCAGCACAACGATCACAGAAGCGTTCAACAGGCCGTTTCTCTGCTGTTATTGAGACTCGTGTCTCTGGAGATCCACAGCATCACAGAGATCTGCTTCCACACAACTAGATTCATAAGAAAGACGCTGGGCGTCTTGAAGCAAAGAATCAATTCTCATTACTTTGCGCCCATGAGTGCCACTCAGCCGAATCGAGCAGGAGGCGTTCGTGGTTTCCCTTTTCTGTCTTTCTCTCTTAACTCAATGCGCATATTAATTAGAACGTTTGGTATTAAAAGGTTACGTTGGAAGTTGTGAATGCAACTTTCACATGACAGATTTCGAAGCTTTGGCCACCAAAAATACATTTTCAATATATGTTTTGTTCTTCTGTTAGATTAGAGGATTGTTTCTGTCTTTTAAGTATGTAAACAAGCCTTTCCACTTACTCTTGGGTTTTTTGGGCGCCACCAATTTCACAGTGAAAAGGGGGAATCTTAACTCTGCAGAAAACAGTGATATTTTAGACAACACCTTGCTTCCAGTTTTTCCTGTTGCACGAAGCCAGCTCCATAAAAAAATGGTTTTCCCACTTTGGGGTGAAGGAACCTGACCTCAACCCGCGTACAACACCAACGGGAGCAAATCCCTGCAGTCAGGATCAAACAGCTGAATTAAATCCTGAAACCAGAAGAGTGGAGGCTGTTACAGCAGCAGGTTAAAGGGGTCAGTACGCGTCTGGAACCTCCACATTCATGCAGAGTTTAAACCTTTCTCAAGCTCTCCTTTTTCATCCTTCATTAAACTACGTCCATCACAAACGAGTGCAACACCATTAATGCTCTATGCTGTGTTCCCACCAAGTTTACGCAAATTGTGACGTCGCACCATCAGACATCCGTGCGGCAGCTTCTTCGCCCGTCGGTGCACGTCCAACATTTTCTGACCACGCGGATGGCTCGCAAATCTTTTAAAGCAGACCTCCACAGAGGGGAACATGATAGTGTACCTGATAATTGGGGCTTAATTTGTGTCGTTCGCTTCACCCGGCGAGTGCGTAGATGAAGCGTTACGTTTCTACATTTCTCTCATTGTGCAGCTGGCGTGTTAGCTAGCTGATGTTAGCTTGCTGTTTCCACTGTGTTTTTACATGTCAGATTTGACTACATCCATATTGTAAGAAAGTAAAGATATAATTTAGGCTTAAAATAAATCATTTTATTTTACATCACAGTCTCCGGCCCTCGGAGAAAAGATGGCGCCTTCTGTAGACCGAGCCGTAGCCGATCAAACGTTATAGAGCTAGCGTTGTTTACACGTTCACCTCTGACCCACCAGGTACAACCTCGTCTGTAAAACCACTTGAATTAAAAAGACACAAAGATGACCCGTGCCTCCTCGTAGTTTATATTCTATTACTGAACGGAAGATCCCGTTCTGTTTTTTTGAACTTGACGAGTTATCGTATTGGCCTGTTTGACTGCCTGGTGTTTATCTCCTCTCTATGTTGTGTCTCTCTCCCTCTCTCTGTCTCTGTCTCT